CGCAATGTTGGATGACGTCGACCTTTGTATTGTCCACGACATGATTGAAGTCGAATCCTTAGGTCATGTCCTTCTCTTGTCGATTGTGGCGTTCCTCCAGGTCTTGCTGTGTGATGGCATCGTTGTGGTGCAAGATGATATTACTACAGTTTGGTTCATCTAGGGATTATGTCTTTTCTGCTGCGTTTCTTGTATTTAATTATGAGAGGTAGATTTTGCTGCGTATGACCGCTCCAGCTGTCCGGATGAAAATCCAACAAGCTCTGGCCCGGGAGATGTCGGATCAACGAAGGGATCCAAGTGGTATGACGTCAGAAGAGGACCTAACACAGGAGCTGGATCCACCCCGAGACCAACAGAGAGAGGATCCAGTCTGGATAGAGACGACGGATCAGAACATGGAAAAGGCAGAATCTCGGTGGATCCGAGCTCAACACGCATTCGTGGAACTGAGGAACAGGATCGCGACCACGCCTATCCTCCGTCATTTCGATCCGGAACGTCAACCTACGGTAATAGTTTATGCCAGTGACTGGGCAGTCTCAGCAGCTCTGGTGCAAGAACATGAGGGGATCTGTCATCCAGTCACCTTTGTCAGCCGGACACTGAAGCCGAATGAACTGAACTACGGGGCGGTGGAGAAAGAGATACTTGCGCTCCTGCGCGTGTTGGATCTAAATTATAACCTGCTAGTGGGAAGATCCATCCGGATCCTGACTCGACACTCCACGCTAGCCTGGCTGTTCAAGTCGGCCGGGTTGCAAGGACGTTTGGGACAGTGGGCAGCTTTACTCTCACCTTGGACGCTGGAGATTGTGAAATGTTCGAAAGGGGAAGACGAGATCCTGGGAGTCTTGGCCGCGAGCATCACTCCTCGAGCTAAGATGGATGAGGCGCTGACTAGGATCGCCCCTAAGAAAGAGCCCAAACGCCGGATCCAGATCCCGATCCCGACGGTACAGGTGGATGAGGATCTATACGTCCTGAGTTTCGATGGATCCGCTTGTTTACGACGCGGAGGAGGAGCATACAGTGCAATACTGTGGAGACTGCCCGGATGGGAAGTTGTACGGGCCAGATCCACTTACGCGGGAGGCATCACCGTCAATGAAGCGGAGTATAACGGACTCTTCTGTGTTTGGATTTACTAAAGGGACAAGATCCAAAACGGCTGGTGATTTGTGGGGATTCAAATTTGGTAATCAGACAGGTGCGAGGTGAGATTGACTGCAAGGCCCCGGCCCCTAACACTGTTACGGCAGAAAGTAATGATCCACCTGCGTGGTTGGTTGAATCACGAGTTAGTGCATGTCAAGCGAGATTGGAATGCCAGTGCGGATAGCTTGGCCAGTGCCGCTTTACGGAATCAATGTGGTGTTGAAGTGGAGAGAGAGGTCGAGCATCAGGATCTCGTTACGTTGAATCGACTAGACGAAGTGGTGGTAGTTGGATCCGGGAAAAGGACGGTCCAGGTGATGGCTGTCACTAGGTCCAGAGGAAGGATTGGATCCAGCCCCCAGATCCTCGAGGAAACATTTGTGAAGAGAGTCCTCATTGAGCGGATCCTCAAAGCACAGAACGAGGAAGCGTGGATCCTGGGACTAAAGAAGTATCTGATGGGGGATGTACGAGACTTAAGTCGGGAGGATGCCAAATCCTACAGCATTATCGCTACCGATTACGCAGTAGATCTGAATGACTTGCTCTTCTATTGCCCCCCTACGAAGAGAGTCCACGAGGATCGGGATGGATTGATGAGATTGGTGATGCCAGAAACCTTACAACAGGATGTCCTACACCACTACCACGCTAGCTTGGAAAGGCGGACATCAGGGTATTGGTCGGACCTACCAACGGATCCGGGAACGTTTCCACTGGAGAGGACTATTTCAAGAGCGTACAACGATATGTCGGTGAATGTGTGGATTGTGAGACAGGCAAGGGCAGGCCCACAATCGAAGGGGAGTCACCTGGGAATATCCAAGCGACTTACCCTTTCCAAATCATAGCCATGGATCATATCCCCTCGTTGCCCAAGTCGTTCAAAGGAAGCACAGAATTGTTGATTTGGGTGGATCTGTTTACCGGATACGTGATAGCCAAAGCTAGTGCGTCTAGAACTGCGCAAACCATTGCTGAATCGTACGAGGAGTGTGTTTTCCGAAGATTTGGAGCTAGCGAAATGATTAGACATGATTGGGAGCCAGGCTTTATGTCTGATTTCTTTCGAGCATTCAACCGGATCCTGGGGCAGCGACAGCGAGCAACCATGGCATATCGTCCCCAAGCTAACGGGTCGGCCGAGCGCATGGTGCAGACGATCACGAGAGCACTCAAGATGTATGTCCAGGATTTGGATCAGAGGGATTGGGATGAGTACGCAGAACGACGCCCCTTCGCGATAAACACCGCCCAAGACAGGATCCGGGGTGATACCCCATTTTACGTGGTACATGGGTGGGATCCCAAATCCACCCTGGAAGCGGCCATCCCAGTATGCAGCACCAAGAAGAGAAACCGAGATCCAAGGCGATGGCGATACCAAGTCCAGAAATACTACCGGCAAGCTAGATCCCAGGTGAACGAACGACTGCGGAGTGCGATACAAGATCGAGCGGATGGACACAACGAAGACGCCCGTCCACATCAA